TTAATTATATTGAGCGTTCTTTTGCCCTTCGACTCTAAGTTGCAGTGTTATTTATACGACAGAGACTAAGATACGTTCTTTTGGATATCCAGAGGAAATTTTGCTCCGTTAATACACTCGAACCAGCAGTCACCGCGCTGTGCTCATCTACATATCCCCGCCTCTGGTCACCTACGTCACTCTGATACTTGAAGCAGATACGTTCGCTCTGCTTAGGCCTGGCGACTAACCGGAAGACAGTCGCAGCTGGGGGGAGTTTTAAATTCCTCGCCTTGGCCGGCTCTCGTCCCGGCGTGGATCTGTTATGAGAGTCTTCCGTGCGCGCTCAGGGCCGGGCCGGGCCGGGCGTTTGGGAGGCAGAGGTGCGCGGCCCGCAGAAGGCGCGGCAGCCCCCGGTGGTGGTGCCGGAGCTAAGTTGCGGCTCCATTCCGGTCTAAGCCACACCCTGTCTCTGTGTCTATTTCCCCAGGTTGTAAAGAGGGTGCGGTATGCCCGCCTGTTAGGTTTCTGTGAGACCCGGATGAGAATGTGTGTAACGGGGAGCCAGTGCTGCTATTAAGAAAATGGTCTGAGTCAAAGAACCACGGCCGGCCTGGCCCAGGGGCTGAGTGTCCCCCGGTGGGGCCGATCCGCTCCGGCGCGGGTGCCCGGTGTAGATGGGGGCCTGTCTGCAGCTCTCGGCATAAAGGAGAGCAGCGTTCACCCTGGATTTCCTAAGAAACCGAGTGCTCCTCCCTTCTTTTTAGAGAACGAAGGCGACACCTATTTCCGTTTCTGCCCTTCCAGCCGTGGGCAAACTACGGCCCCCGGGCCGGATCCGGCCCATTCGGCTGTTGGCCCGTGGAGCTGAAAGAGTGGGTTCTCTTGCTCTCCCCTGCGCTCCTTCACCAGCAGCAGTGTTAACATGGCAACGTTGGGAAACACGGCCGCAGCTCCTTCTTCTGAGTCCAGTTTAAGAACCCATTGTGGCCCTCAAGTCAAAAAGTTTGCCCATCCCCTAGACCCTCTGCGCCGGGCACACTGCAGCAATTGTTGTAGCGCGGGCGCTGGCGGTGTGTGTAGAGGGAAACTTCTGCCTGTTCGGTCTGCTGCCGAAGAAGAACATTGGCAGATCCGGTCTCACAGTATAAAAGCATCCACATTGATTTAGCCCAGTTCACCTGACACAGGCGCCCTCATTAGAAAATGAAGAACCAAATGAGTGGCAGCACCTACATGATTTTAAATTAGGTTGAACAAAGAGGGGCAATTGTGAAAGAGTAACATATATGGGGACGTTGATTTTTACAACAAATGGAAGGGGAAGGGGAGAGAGAAACATGTTGGTGTCACCATTGGTTGCCTCCTCCTCTACATGCCCGACGGGGGCCGGGGTTTGAGCCTGCTGCCCTGTCTGATCAGAATCCACCCTGAGACCCTTCAGTCCGCGGGCCAGCGTTCTACCCACTGAGCAAACCGGCTGGGGCAGTGATGGCGAACCTTCTGAGCTCGGTGTGTCAGCATTTTGAAAAACCCTAACTTAACTCTGGTGCCGTGTCACATATAGAAATTTTTTGATATTTGCAACCATAGTAAAACAAAGACATATTTTAGATATTTTATTTTTTTGATATTTTATATATTAAAATGCCATTTAACAAAGAAAAATCAACCAAAAAATGAGTTCGCATGTCACCTCTGACACGCGTGTCATAGGTTCGCCATCACTGGGTGCAGCTGCAGTTTTTCTGACCTCTTGGGAGTCTCATTCTAGGCATGCACAGTTTAGAAGATGGCCAGTGACTTGAGAATTTATAAGCAGAATTTAGGGTTTTTTATGCTTTGTTTTTGTCTGTAATTCTCTCATCTCTTGGATTTTGCCTTTCAAGTCTCAGCCACTTTGGTAGCCCTGAATTTTAACCTCTGTCTCTTCAGCTTAGTCAAATAACCATTTTCTAGTTGGGCTCTATTTCCAATGCTGTTATTAAGAAAATGGTCTGAGTAAGAGAACCACGGCTTGCCTAGCTGGCTTGGCTCAGGGGTTGAATGACAATCTATGAACCAGAAGGTCAGGGCTCTATTCCCAGTCAGCGCAAATGCTGAGGTTGTGGGCTCAGTCCCCTGTGTGGAGCGTTTTGGAGGCAGCCAATCAATGATTCTCTCTCATCATTGATGTTTCCCTCTCTTTCTCCCTCTCCCTCCCTTTATAAAATCAATAGAAGTCTAAACAAAATAAAACAAAAACAAACCATGGCTTACAACCCCCCAAGTTCTGCTTGTGTTGGTTATTCCCCACAGTTGTTTTATAAATGTTATTTACTTTTTTTCTCTTGTTTTGTTTTTTATTTTTTAAATATATTTTTACTGATTTCAGAGGAGAAGGGAGAGGGAGAGATAGAAACATTAGTGATGAAACAGAATCATTGATCGGCTGCCTCCTGCACGCCCCCTACTGGGGATCAAGCCCACAACCCAGGCATGTGCCCTGACTGGAATTGAACCATGACCTTCTGGTTCATAGGTCTACTCTTAACCACTGAGACACACTGGCCAGGCTAAAAATTATTTTACTATGCCAGTAATAACCGCCATGCTCAGATTTGTCTGTGGAGCTCTGGAGTCTGCAAGTTCATGGTTCTTCCCACTCGTACTGTTTTCTTTGTTCTCACTCATTGCTTGTTCTCACAGCCTCAGTGGGGCAATGTTATCATTTTTGTTTTCTGGCAGGGCAGCAGAGGCACAAGGAGCAGGAGATTTGTTCCTGGGATGTGCTCTCCCGGAGGACCTACTAGCACGTCCAGGTGCTGGGCAGGATTCAGAGGATCAACGAACAACGCCGTCACTCAGTGGGTGTTTTACGTACTTAAGGCCAAACGTCAGATACTTGGAAACATTTCGATAATTGACAGGATTTGTTCTTTTCTTTAAGATTGTGATTCTGTAAAGAAAATTTCCTGACCACCATCCCCAGATTTTGCCTGATGTCCCTGGTCTGGCGCATTTAAAAAATGTTAACCAGTAGGAGAGGAATCAAGTGCAGAATCATCACTACAGAGGTGCTGGGGCTGGGAGTGGTGGAGAAAGATATCGAGATCACTTTATATTTTTATTTACATCAGTAGAG